CTCTCTCTCTCACACACACACACACACACACACACACACACCCCACACAAATGTTACTCATACCTGATTCAGTGTTTGACAAAAGTGAATAAACCGTGCAGCACAGTAGCCCTTCAGAAAGGGATTAGACCTGCCTCGTCCGTGTTTAGAGAAAGCAAGGAAAGACACTTTGGGAGACACTCTGTCTGCCATTCCAAAGTTGCATAATAAACAAAGCTCCATGCCAGATCCAGCTTCATTTCTGATCACTTCCGAGGAAAATTCACTCATCCTCAGGAAGCACCAGAAGCTTTCTGGAGGGGGGCAATTTGTCTCCAGCCTCACCTGAATATGATCTACAATTCCAATAGATAGGCACATGTGATGCATATCTCCAAAATATACTGGTCTCATTCCTTATCTCTGTCTGTTTGGGATGGGGCATATGGGCAGAATGGTGCTTGTGAGTTTCTTGTGGGTAGCTGGTTGACCACTGTGTGACCAGCATGCTGGACCCAATCAGCACAGCACTTCATCTGTTCTTACCAGTACAGCCTAATCAAATGAAGAGACAGCTCCTAGGAAAACTACAGAGGATGGACTACACAATGCCAGCTCTGAATCTGTGAACCAACATGAATCTGAGACCTCCTTTCTGCTTCCTCTGATGAAAAATTTGTGCTGCTCCTTTCTTTTCTCTTATGAGCAAAAATGTGGTTCTCTCTGATATGCCACACTTTTTAACCACCTCCTTTGGGAATGCTTCCCTCCAGGGAGCATTTCTTGTTCTCTTTAGGAGGCCTTAGAAGTAGTCAGGGTCTAATAATAAGGACTGGTGTTGCACCTCACCTTCTTCTGGTAGCTGGAAAATTGGGCTGCCGTAACCTGCAAGCTTGTTCTCTTTTATTCTCTTGCATAAGCATCTCAATTTCCTGTATACCTTACGGTCCTCACCTTTCGTTTCCTGAGAGACTTCAGGACAGAAATGTGTGCAAAAATAAGGATGAGAAAAACTTATCCTAGATTGCACAGGACAGTACAATAAATGCATGATATGAGATAGAAAGGGAAGTGTTGGTGCCAGGGCCAGCCGAGGGCATTTTGCTGCTGGATTCTGAGCGGCAAATCACCTGACACCCAACCAGTCAAGGTGAATTGCTCTGGCAGGTGGTTATTGCCTGCTTTTGCCTACTGATGGCGCTGGCCCTGAAGCTGTGGCCATTACCATTTCTGCACCATTCTCCATCCTCTACCTGTTCTCCATCCTCAGCAACCCACAATGTTCCTTTTCAGTAACTCTGCTCATCCACTCTTGCTGCACTTACATGTGCCATTCCCACACAAGACTCCTCCAGGATGCCTTGCAAAGACTTTGTAGGGTAAAGGGTAATGTAAATCCTTTGGAGAAGGCTTGAGGCCAGAGGTAAGGTATGTTTTTAAGGGCATTTATGTGTGCTCCTATAAATCTGTAAAGTGTTGGCTTCTCCTTGACTCTTCCCATTTTCTAGACTTCCTGTATCATTGCTCATTTGGTCCACCTCCTAAATTCTGGCTTGCTCCATTCAGCGGGGCTACCCATTCCTTCAAAGTTCTTTACACAAAAAGTATATTTTTTGTGAATTGTTTTACACTATAGAGGTGAAAAGACAGGCGCTAGGAAGGGATCCTTCATTCATTCTACCCCTGCTGATTCTTTCACACATAATTCCCATGCAGGGAATTTCCATTCAGTTCAAATTTTCCAAAGAATTCACCAATATTCACAAAGTCCTTCATATTCAAGGCAAAAAGAACTTGAAGGTTGTGGGGGTTTTTTAATGAATGTGAAAGAAAGCAAAAAGGACAGAGTCATTCGCTGGAGTTTGAATGCCTTGGTGCTCATGGGCTTCCATGGGTGCCGAAGTCCTGGACAATCATGCCTGGCTTTGAATCCCTTGTATTCAGCCATGTTAGTGATAATGTCTTATTCTGACAGGCTCCTCTTTTCAACCGTTGTATGGCAGGAAGGAACATCACAGTCTTCTCCATCTTGCAAACAGCTGTCCCTAATCAAATTTGACTGGTGCAGATGGGTGATAATTTGTTGTTCGTCTTGGATCTTAATTTTCCAAATTTTTAAAATGCCTTCACACTCAGGAGAGAATAAAGTTGATTTTTTAAAAGATGAAAGGAAGGGAGAGCAAAGTAACAGATTCGTGCATGTCCACCCCCACACTCACTTTTTATTTTTATTTATTTTATTTTTGCCTTAACTGGGTTTCCTTTGGATTTAGTGCTCAGACTGGTGGCTAGGTTGGTAGCAAAAAGATAACACCACACCTCCACCCATGGAATTTCACTTACACTGTTCCCAGGTTTTGTATTTACATTCCTAGCAAGAGTGTATTTCTGATCCTAAAAATAGTGTCTTTTGTGTGTTAACTATGTAACGGAACTCTACGTATAGAAATAGGCAGTAGGACCATGCTGCTGTTCCCAGTGCAGCATCCTCCAGCTTTCCCACCCTCAACATCCACAGGGTGATCATTAGCTTTAGGAAAATCTGTGTGCACTGACCTTTAAGCCCATAGGCTTCCATGGGTGCTGCAACCCTGAACAAAGCGGGGTTCAGTGCCTCTGGAACTCTGTGTGCAAAGATATCCCTTTCTCAGGCATCTGTGCTCAATATGTGGACATCACAGCAAAGACAAGTGATTCTGTGATTCAACTGGCCAGTTAAGCATTACTAAAGGAAAGGTAGGTGTCACTCCAAAAAGGGAAAAGGGACCAACAACGTGCATAATTTTGACATATTTTAATTTAGATGTATATAAATAAATTTAGAAATATTAACTAGAATTATATATATCTCACAATAGTGATAGAGACTGACCCATGTTGCTTGCTCAGCCTGCTGTCCAGGAATTAATTATCAATGGATATCTTCAAGATCCTTGCACACCTTTCTTATGGTTTTTTATCCTTAAACAGGACTTGAACTCTATAGACCATCAAAGAGAGGACACCTTCAAACAGAGGACTGTCCTTGGTAAATTAGGGCACCTAGTTACCTGTCATGCAGCACTGGGATGAACCCCTGCTGCCTGTCCTTTGCATAGCCCATTTTCACACCGTTGTGCATTGAAATATTGACTCGTTTTCATGTTTTGTTATCCTGTCCTCTCTTTGACTGTTGAAATATAGACTGCAATCTCATCAGGGCAGAGTATTTTATTTTTTGTTTAATTTCCTTCATAAAGCACCATGCATGTTAATGGATCGATTAGCGCAAGCATTTTTTGGAGCTAAGCAGCAGTGCCACCCTTAATTGTATGTGAAGGCAGCAAAAAATCCAAAATAGATTTTCAACATAAATTATAAATTTCAGACTCAGAGAATTAAAACCATAGGAAGTCTTGCTTGGAATATAGATTTTTTAAAAGTAAAATTTTAACATGTGATCTGCCACCAGTGTTTAGGAAAACAATTATCTACTTCCAGGTCTGAATTGTCCCCCTTTCAAACTTTCTGCTACATCAGTGTCATTAAGACAAATGGTAAACATTTCTCCTTTTCTCAGATCTGTCAGAAACTTCTATTTCCATGACATTCAACTCATAAAAGGAAACACAATGTGTTTATTAAATTCGGAGGAGTTTTGGGGTTTTTGGTGATTTTTAATCTGAAGCCAGCTACCATCATAAAATAAATTAACAAGATGAAAAGGAAGGATGAGTAAGATTAAAGGTGAGGAGAGAATGCAATGGAGGAAACTCACAAAGGAGTTGATGACACTCACTGCATGATAAATCAACATGTAACAAAGCCAACATGCTGCTGCTTCTTTTATTCTGAGCCCAACAGCTAAAACCCTTTTTCATTTGCAGCCCCACAAGCAAATGAAACTCTTGAGGGTAAATACAATAGCAATCGCAAAGGAAATTCTTCTTTTACACCTTGAAAAATGCTGGAAACCGGATAGGCCAGATTCATTTGTTTTTATATCTCTTGGAAAATAAATTAAAATCAAACATTAATTTACTTGGCAATTATTTATTTATTGGTGATCATTGTATCATGCTTAAATATAAATTAAAATCCCTAAGCAGTTTTGATCAGTTTTGTTTAAGCTTTGTTCTGTTAGCTGATGCTTTTTATCTGCATTTATGCTTATGATCTCATACTTAAGACTTTCCAAAACAAGAAGAACCATTTCTTTTATAACTGAGGTCTAGGTAATAGAACATAGGTAAATGTGCTTTATGTAGGTAATCCAATCCCTCAAAGGCAAAATGAATCAGTCGGGTTGCCTTGCCAGCCACTGGAAAAACAAATAGCAACCAGCTGTTCTCAGTCATCTTAGCGAGGAAAGAAGAGATCTGTTCAAGCAGACCATCCAGTCTGGCATTTTATCTGTTTTACACTGGTCAGAAAATATCCACTAGAAGCTTTTTCCACCTGAAAACTCTGATTTGTCAGAAATGACATTTGCACAAGAAAATGTCATTTCTAACAAAGTTTCCTGTCAGAAATTTCTGGCTGAGTTCAGCTTTCCTGTAAGGATTGAAGGGTTTACTAGTGTAGGGGGACCAGCGCTGGCATCTTGGGAAATGTAGTCTTTCATGGCAAAAACCTCACTGTGCTGCTGAACCAACCAATGAAACTTAATCAGACAAGGATGGAGATGCTGCAGATCAGGGTTTCTGAGCATCTGAATAAATATACACATTCTCTTTGCCAGGACTACACCTTTCTGAGGGACCAAGTGGACACCTTGGGTATACTCCCTGAACCAGCTTTTCACTGGATGCGTTGCCAGCTCCAGGCTTATGAGGACCCTAGGTAAGATGTTCTCAATGATCCCCTTCTTCAAGGAGTCTATCTTCTCACCACCTTTGTTTCCAGTTAGTATTGCTTTTCATTCACTTCCTTACCATCATTCCCACTCACAAATTGGGAGTGGTTTCTCCTGCACATCCTCCTCACCACCGCTGGGGTCTAAGCCAGAGTGAGAGGTTTCAGTGGTGAAGAGAAAGAGCAAACCAAGAGGAGTCTTGCCAATGGGCCTCTGCTGGGGTATGGGCCCTTGGCAGATGGTCCACCATGCCTGTTATTGATGATGGCCCTGCCTGGATGTGGGAGTAGAACCTCTCAGCAGCTTTTGCTGATCCACCAGCTACAGTCTTTCCTAAAGGAGATAGGCCTACCATCACATTTCCAGTACCACAATACCATCTAAGTTAGGCTGCCTTTAATAACTGTCTGAAAATTTCAGATGATCCAAAATGCAGCTCCCAGATTGTTATCAAAACTTGGACCATATTACTGGAGCATATGACTGATCATGTTTCACCTGCATTGGTTAGCCATTGATTTCTGAGCTGCTATCAAGTTGAACTTTAAATCACAAATAGTCAAGGACCAGGTTTCCTCAGAAATTATCTGTTGTCAGATGAACCTGCTTGGACTTGAGTTCAGCATCAGAGCACCTGCTCTTTTGATCCCACTGTTATGCAAGATCTTGGACAGGTAGGAGATACAGGGCCTTCTCACGGTGGTTCTAGGATTATGAAGTATATTTCCTGTGGAGATCCCCCATGCTTCCTCTCTTTCCACTTAGGTGGCTATTGAGCGGAAATGTTTCCTCCTCATTTCAGCTATTTCTTCTGCTGTTCTTTAAAATAATTGTCAAGGTCTACTACTTTGAAATTAAAATTGTACTACAATTGTGTATTGTTTTCCTACCTGTGCTTTAGTTCTGCTTGTTAGCATTTTGAATTCTTACAAATGTTAACTTGTCCAGCTGAATGAGTCCAGGGACAGCTGGGTGCATTGTATGAAGAAGCCAGAATCTCTGAAGCGTACCAGTCAGTACCAGAACTACAAGGGATGGTTGGAGAGGTGAGATAAGAGGGCTTCTCAGAACCCCTTCACATAATGAAAGCAGGCTTGAGGGGTTATGGGAGGATGTCCGCTAGTCCCACCAGCTGCTTCCAATTCATGCCCTCCCCACCATGTGAAGCAGCCCTTTACGCACTAATCTACATGTGCAGACATTCTACATGAGGATTTTCCCTCGTGCTGGTGAGCACTGTGTATAGATCCCCATGCAGGGATAGTTGCGTCACTTGGTGATCAGACATGTTGCTTGTCATCAGGGAAGGGAGAGCTTGGCTATCAGGATCCTTCCAGCCTGTGAAAGGGTTTCGCCTCTATGTGAACCTTAAGGGCCAAACAAAACATTCATTAATGCACATGTGATCATGCATTGACATGATTCAGACTGGGAACATGAAGTCCTAGGACAAAAAGTCTCAAGCTTTCCCATGCACTCATGTTTCCACATGAAATTTTGTCCCCTGGCTGTGGGTGTGGGTATAAAATAATAACTGCTGCATCAGATTCTGCACACTTACTCGAGAATATAAAAAAGTTAATAATCTTTTAGTTTGGCTCAGCTAAAAACAGTGTCTACTGTTTGTTCTACTTAGAGTACTCCCGTTGAAGGGAAAAGGACTTTAGTCATGAGTAACTTAAGCCTGTTTAATTCCATTTCAATAGCTCTATTTTATGCAGGGCTAACTGTGGATACTACCCAGTATCTCCAGACAATTCTGCTTAGTATCTTTAAAAGAACAAAGAGTGAGAGCAGAATGAAACCCTAGGAGCTTCCACAAAGGAGGGCTCACTGCAGACACCATTGCTCATCCTTCACCCAGAATTTCAGGGACAGGCATGGCACAGTGGTACAGCACATGCCTTGAATGCAGAAGGCCCAGGGTTCAGTCTTCAGAAGGGTGCAGGAGAGAATCCTGCTGAATACCTTGAATCATCACCATTGGTCCCTGTTGACAGGACTGGGCTAGAAGGACCCATTGTTTGATTTAGTATATAGCAATTTCCTAGGTTCTCTAGGTTCTTGCCAAGAAATTGATGGACTAACCACATGGGAATGGCTCTGAAGACCACTGCTAACACCTTTGTAATGCCAGCAGCAGCAACCCCAACACTTGCAGATCTGTACAATTAATGGTTGGCAATCCAGGATGTTACCAGACTGATGTAATCAGCACTCAGCCCTATTTAAGTCTTTCACTGTTGATTTAAAGGGAAGTGCAACAAAATTAGAGATGTGTGTGAGGAAATATCTTCGGCAAGGTTTGTGCTGTTCACTGCATTGCTATTTAAAAGCATCCAAAGTGGTATTTAACATAAAACACAACTGTCAATAAAGAAAATGTGCACATAGAACAATAATATCTGAATGAAAAGCCTAAAAAGCTGAAGTGACTTAAAATCACAGTATAACGCATCAGCTAACTAAAAGCAATAGTAAAACAAAAAGAAAAACAAAACCTCTGGTTATAAAGCTCCCACAGCAGCCTGTGCATATCAACACAATGCAATGCAGGTTTTTCAGTAAAGGAATGAATTTGCCTTTTGGCAAAACAATTCTTTATTTATCGAACTATCTGAAACATGTTTACCCCATTCTTCAACTGAAAGAAGGCCCCGAGTGGCCTGCAAAGATCAGTTATAAGGCAGTTCCTGCCTTCAGGCTTACAGTCTATACACTACAGCAGAAAAGGAAAAGGGATCTGGAAGAAGGAGGAAAAATGCAAACTCAGGCTCCAGTTGAGGCTGAGCAAACATAGCTTCTTTATACAGCCACCTGAAAAGCCTTTGGATGTCACAGGCACCCCTTTCCACTAGTGGAGAGAGCTCCACTGAAGGAAGGTCTGTCCTGGAGGTGCCAGTCATGCCAACAGAAAAGTAATATGGACATACCTACATCAGTAGCAGGATTCCTTTTTTTCGTAGGCAGCAGTGAGTCCCAAAATTCCAGGGTGGAGCATGGGCAGGACAGAGGTGGCCATGGGTGCACTGGATGCAAAGCCTCCTCCAAATTGTCCTGGAGCTGGCGTAACTTATTATTTATATTCAGTGAGGAATATGGGTGAAGGGTGGCGATGGAAAAAAGGTGTTCAGTGCCCAAAAGGTAAGCATGGTCCTTCCTCTTGGCACTCACCTTGAGCAGTGTGCACCAGTGGGGTTTTGGAAGTGGTAGATATCCGTCATTTTGCAGCCCAACGACCTCCTTGCAGTTACAATGGTTATATACCAACTAGCTGAAACAGGAACGGTTTAGGAAGAGTCAAATGTTGCTAGTTGCTCAGCAGAGCCAGTGCTTGCCTTTACTTCCTCACCACAGTGGAAGGGAAAGGTCACTTCAGGTGGCAGCCGGGGGTGGGAGGAAATCATGGAGCTGCCTTCTCAGCTGAGCGTCCCTTTCTCCCTAGAGGCAGCCTGGTGAAATGGCTGTTGCTGAACATCAGTGGAAATTATTGGAGAAGAGGCCCGATAGTTCCTGTTCAGGGGCAAATTCCATAACGGAGGTGCCATGACAAAAAGGCTTTCACAGATTTTTATTTTTTTAAGGCCAGATTCATTCATTCCGCCATTCCAAAGATTTCTGTACCACCTGTCAGATGACACTTCTAATGATGATCAACATCATCATAATCAGTAATGCCAATATTTGCATCAGATTTAAATTGTAAAACACAAAAGAGAATCACAAAAGAAAAACCGCAGCACTGTTGAGAAAGAACAAGTTAAAGAATAAACACCAATTGTCTATTGAAAGCTTGGAGCAATAGAATTTTTTTCATCTGGCACCAAAAAGCTGGTCAAGGAGAAAAAAAAGGGTGTTTCTGGGAAGGTTTTCCACATTGCCATTAAAGAAGTATCACCACAACTGTCTAATCTAACCAACCACCTCATTGCTGAAGGTGCCGTCACTTGTCAGGGGAGGATTGTTCTGTTTTCAGTTTACCATATTAGTTTTGCCTGTCTCTATTCATAGGTATGTTCCATCCAGCAAGTCCCGCTCTCGATGCAGCTCCGTGCATCTCTATTCATGAAGGAGAAAAAATGAAAAGTGAGGAGGGAGGAGAAGGTGCTTCAGCGTTGACGCTCCGTCATGCTTGAACCTATCTAGGCTATTGTCTTAATCCAGATGGATTCTCTGTTCCACCCACCAAAAGTGATTGCCCACCCCTGTTACAATGCATGCTCAATGTTTCAAATGCTTAGCAATCCGAAATAAATGGACCATATTACTTAGGGTTTTTCAGGGAAGTATCAGTGCTCTCAGCTGCCCTTGAAATAATAGGGTTTTGTGTTGTTTTATGCCTTTTGCTAGAAAAACACACAATAACATATATTGTTATAACTGTGGATGTTACCATGGACCCTTGAAAAGAAATCATCTTTGAACAAAGAATCCGAGAAACTTTATCCTATTTGATTTCTGAAAAGGAAAACAATGATCTGAACTGCCTCAGCAATGGGAGCTGCAAACCTTGAGGCAACCTGTGTGCAAAATATTAAACAAGCAGCCCACACAATGGTGCAGTAGCTTCAACATGTCAACGGATGGAGAGAAGATGATTAAGGCACGTTTGTTAAATAGAAGATAGCTCAGCTTAGTTTGACTGAGACAGGTTCGAACAGCTGGACTTGCATGTTAATCCAGGTGGACTTTACTTTTCTGTCAGTCATGGCCTTCAGCTTGGAGTTATTACTGAGACAGGATTTGAGTTTCCAGCCAGGGCTAGAATGGGCTGAATAATTACAATAAAACCTGAAGAGGAGAAAAAATTGGTAGAGTATCATAAACTGTCAGTCTGTCAGATGAGAAATCAGCAGTGGTGTGGTGGTAAATTCTGAGGTGCAGGTGCTCATAATGACTGTCCCCATAGCGACACCCCCAAGGAGAGTCCAAACATTCAGGCAGCCCTGTTGATTCATATCACAATAAACTAGTTCTACCAGTTTTCATCTCCAGCAGAAGATTCGTTGCCAATCTAATGGGCCTTCATTGTGCATTCAAGATCAAGCCACACCAAAATACTTTGCATTTCAACAGGGAACAGAATACTGTTGCTCAGAAAATGAATTTTCTCCCAGCTGCTGTTAGGAGTTCAGCTAAGCTCAGACAGAATGGGAAGCCTGAGGTAGGAGTCAGCATTCCTGCTAATAAAGGTTTGAAGCTTCATCCCTGTGAGCCCTGACTCTACTACACCACTGCACTGCTATGCTTAGAACAGCCCTTACAGAAGGACATTGTATAAGGTGCTGTCCTTTGGTGGGATCAGATGATATTCCACACACAAATGCATTGAAAGAATGTGTGTGCAGGGTTGTGGGTCCTGGCGGAGTAGACTTGCCCCCAATGATGGGGAGAAGCCAAGCCTTCCCACCATTTGTGAGTTCAACTGGCACTTGACAGGCCTCTGCGGACATACTGACGCACACATTACAGGGCTCCTCTACACAATGGGTGGTCAGGATACTACTTTAAAGATATGAAGGCATTCTGCATTTGGAGGACTGCCTAGTTCAACTTTAACAAGAATAAGATCAGAAAGCAGGGGCCCAGAAGTTACTTATTTATAGTTAGTAGTTCTACTGAGCATCACATAGGAACTATTTAAATTACACTCGTGATTTCTAAATTGACATGCATATATTTAAATCAACATACACAAAATTTATGCAGACCAGCAGCCTGGACAGCCATCTGAATGGGATGATGTAACTTGGTGTCCTGTACCAGCAGGGGGTTGGACCCAATGACCTTCAGGGCCCCTTCTGACTGTACTATTCTATGATTCTATGATATCCTCCTTTTGGATATCAGAAGGATGGGGAGCTTTGCAGGGGGACATTGGTATTGCATGCTTTGGAGAGGGCAGATCTACTGGAGATGTTGAGGCTGCAGAAGGGAATAGGGGACAAGAATGGACTATGTGCAACTTCCTCAAACATTTTTTTCAGTGTGTGTGTGGTCCGAACCAGCGCCAACTCTGAGATCAGTTGAGAGCCAGTGAGCAAGTAGATACTGGCATCTACTGTTCCTCCTTCTTACTAGCAGCACCATTTGGACTGAAATGCAGGTGAAAGAGCAGCTTGCCATGGTGAAGAGCAGAAACCATGCTGGTGTGGTCCTCAGCAAGGTTTGACCATGCCTCTCCTTGATGCTAGGCCTGACCAAAAACTATTCTCTATTTGAGCCATCCATAGATGAAAGGTTGGGCTGGGCAGATAGCAAGATCAGCCCTCCCATGTGGCAAGGAGAACCACATGAATTTAGAACATAAATGAACAATTTGATGTTGGAATGGTTCAATGTGAGTTTCCAAAACTGCAGCCCAGGAATTACAGCCCAAATATCTTGCTGCACAACCAATGGGACTGACAATATTCCTCAAGCACCACCTTCTGGAGCTGTCTCTCCAAGTAGGAACAGAATCTCTGCAATGCATTGCCCTCCCACTTGTAACTCAGTTGCCCCAGTTGCAAAGAGATCCAGGAGAATCAAGAGGGTCATGCTCCCCTGAGAAACTTTTAGAGAATTTCTCCTATTCATGGGGGGAAATTGGGCAAATTGGGGGGAAATGTTTTGCCCAGTTTTTCTGCCTTCAGAAGGGTGAACATTTTGAGAGATCACTGCCATGTATTTGACAACTTCTTGCTTCCTCCCTCTCTGTTTTCGACACACTTCTGCCAATCATATTTTGCAAAGTGATGGCATATTTTGTGAATAATACTACAGTTGTGCAGTTGGTGCTGGCAAAGTGAATGCTGATGTGTGACAGAAAGAGGTGCCAGGTGTGTGCAGAGGGAACGAATGCCTCTGTGAGTCTTGGGTTATGCTGAATCATGGGGGGATCAGTCAAATAAAAAATAAAGTTGGCATGTTTATCCTCCTCCCACTATGTAATATATTATGAAATGATTCCAGACCTTCTTATCTAGTTCTTTCAAGAGAGGCCGTACTGCAGCCATCCCATGGATAAACAGGAAAAAGCCATCAGGTTGAAAAGGTGTATTTAGTTCAGTGTTAGTGATGGAAATACACCAATTTCAGTATGATTCAATGGATGTTTACAGTATAAAGATCCTGGACTGAAAACAAGCCAGTAATGGCCTTGAAAATTATGTTCCCTTTTGAAAACACACTGGGGTTTAGACACAGGCTATCTACTTGTACAGTTTCCAGCCCACCTTAAAGACAGAGCTCCCACTCTGACAACTGTTGAAGTGCCTATTCCTGTAACCTCCTGCTTCTGCATGTTCCCAAACTGGCAGGAACTCAAGGACAGGTACAAAAGTGAGGTGATCCTTGAAAGCCATGAGCACCACTCAAGGAAGTTGCCATGAAGTGGGTGGTTGAGATGGCACTCCACTTGTAGTGAGTGGGCTAGGAACGTACTCTTTGTGAGCTTCCAAGTACCGGTGTTTTTCAGATTCTCAAGGGGAGTATCAAAGGGTAGCAGAAGCCTTTGAGGGCCCATCAAGGTTGCTGCCCACTGTTTCCCAGGCTGACCATGAGAAGAAACATGTTTTGGAAGGGAAGGGAAGGGACTCAGAAGAGGAAGGAGAGCTGCCGCCTTGCCCAGCTCCTGACTCTGTGACAAGCCATCAGGAGAGGCAAACTACCCAATCTGAGAGCTTGCACAGGTTCCCTGGCTAGCCCTCCACTAGTTAGATCCACCCCGAGGGTGGAGCCTGCAGTGTGAATGAAAGGAGAGGACTGGGGGGAAGTTTCCAGTTTGGGTTCAACTCCCACTCACTCGTTATGCTAGCAGGGGCTCAGCTTGCTTGGGGGCTTTTAGAGTTGGGTTGTGTTTTTATCTGTGAACTGCCACTGAAGACCTGCATTGGAAAGGACTGCCTGGTGCCTGTGAGCCTTGGACAAGAAAGGA